TTTGCAAATACATTGCTTTTTATTTTCTTGATTATGCTTTCCAAAACATAATTTTTTTATGGTGCTAAATATTGAACCAAAGGCCTCACACATGCACATGTGAGCTACCCACTGTACCACTGAGCTGTATCTAGCCAGTGTTTAATTTTGATGCAGTCTTTATTTTTTTTTCCTCTGATTATGTTTGGTGCTTTTGGTGAAATATGTAAAAAAACTATTCCCTAATTCAACTCAAAATTCACCTATATTTTCTTTAAGTATTTTATAGTTTTAGTTCTATTTCCATCCTTAATGTGTCTTTAGTTATTTTGTGTACATGGTATGAGGTAGTGGCCATATTCCTTCTTTTGCATATGCATATTCAGTTGTCTTAGCACCATTTTTTGAAAAAGACTGTTTTCCTTAATTTAATTATCTTTGTATTTTTGTTGAAATGGTCATCTTGTTTTCAACAATTCTATTCCAATTATCTATAAATTTAAACTAGTTTTGTAGCAAGCTTTGAAATCAGGAAGTGAGAGTGCTTGAACTTTGTTCTTTTTCAATACTGTTTGGTTGTTACAGGTACCTTGTATTTTCTTATGAACTTTAACATCAGCTTGCCAGTTTCTGCAGAAAGCCAACTTCGATTTTGGATTTGTTAATCAATTTGTAGAGCATCTTTCTTTAACAATATTAAGTTTTCTCATCTATGAATATATTTTTGATTTATTTAAATGAAATTTTCATTTATTTAAAATATTCATTAATTTCATTCAACAGTGTAGGCAATTGTTCAGCAAGGAGAGCAGGACAGTGTGAGATTTCATCATACTGCCCAGAATAGTGCAATTTAAAACTTATGAATTGTTTATTTCTGGAATTTTCCAATTAACATTTTCAGACCACAGGTAACTAACACCATGGAACAAGGAGGACTACTGTTCTGTTTTAGAAGGTGTACTTGAAGGAGCTGGTGCTAAAAGACAGTGTTGGGCAAGCGACCAGGGCTGGATGATGAAGAGCACACAAAGCCTGTTCTCACATTTAAACTGTGCCTCGAGTTCCCAGAAGGCATTGAAGGGTTTTAAGAAGGGAATTTAAGGGGCCGGGGATTTAGCTAAGTGGTTTCACTGCCTGCTGTGCAAGTGGAAGGACCCGAGTTCGATCCCTGGTACCAAAAAAAAAACACACACGAAGAAGGGAATTTAAAAGAAGGCATGAAATAATCTGGTTTGTGCCTGTAGAAAAATTTGAGTACTGGTTTAGACTAAAAGCCAGAAAACTAAGGACTATTGCAGTAACTCAGAAAAACGATGCACTGGATAGTGTAGTGGCAACAGAGATAAGTAGAGATTCTAAAGAGATTCTGGTGATAAAATTAGATACTAGGGAAGAGGAGCCATGGATGATGGCTAATTTTTTGTCCAAGGCAAATGGGTGAATCATGTTCTTTCCTGGGAATTTGGGCAATTGTGTTACCTTTGTTTTTTGGATTTTTTTTTTTTGGTGGTACCAGGGATCAAACTCAGGACCTTGCACTTGTGAGGCAGGTGTGGTGCCACTGAGCTAAATCCCCGGCCCTTAGTTAGCTTTTTAACCCCTATAACCAAATACATGGAAAAACAACTTAAGGAAGAAAAGATTTATGTTTGGTTCATGGTTCCAGAGGTTTCAGTCAATGGTTGGCTGGCTCCATTGGTTTTAGGCGGGTGGTGAGGCAGAATCATCTTGGAGGAAAAGCATTGCAAAGCAGAGCTACTCACCTTATGGCTGCCAGAAAGCAGAAAGGAAATGAACCAGAGCCCAAAGGAAGGAGCCGGGGACCAGATACAGTCCCCAAGGTCACGGTCCCAGGATCCACACCTGCCAACCAGGCCTCACCTCTTTCTTCTACCACCTCCCATAAAGTCATAAAATTATGATCTTATTGATGAATTAATCCACTGATAAAGTTAGAGCCCTCATGATCCACTTGACTCTGGAAACACAGACACACCCACAAGTGTGTTTTACTAATTTCCTAGACATTTCTCAACCCAGTCAAGTTGACAATCATTGTCAACCATCACAGGAATATGGGAGAAATAGTTAGAAAAGATAATGTATTTTGTTTTGGAGATACTGAGTCTGAGGTACCTTTAATACATCCAAGTGGGTACTTCCCATAGGTAGTTGGATTTGATGTCTTGAACATAGATGATCCTGACTGGATCTGTATGGTAGTTCTAGGTATTAAATGTTCATTGAAGATATGGCAGGGGATAAATTCATTCATTCAATAATATTCATTTATCAATTCATAGTATACATTTAGAGGTACACATAACTCATCTTACTCTCCAAAACCATCTCTTTTTTGTCTTGCTTTTTATCACTCTTTCCTTTAATTTCACCCTTCTTTACCCCTAAACAATAATTTCACATGACCTTATTGTAAAGGTACTAGCACAGTAATCTCTTATTTCTTACTCATCAGCTTCTTATCCTTCACATACTCTTTTTTTTTTTTTGCAATACCAGGGATCGAACTCAGGACCTTGCATTTGCCTTGCAGGTGCAGTGCCACTGAGCTACATCCCTATCCCTCTTCACTTACTCTTAAGTTGATTTTTAGCAAGATTTTTTCTTGCAAAAATAACATTGTATCATTACTATAATTATTTGTTTTAATTTTAGTGTCTTAAAGACTTTTATACATGATCCTCTTGTGGAGTGGAGTAAACCAGTAAAAGGACATTCCAAAGCACCACTGAATGAAACTGGGGAAGTTGTCAATGAGAAGGTTAGTAGAAGGTGCAGCTTGATATGCACTAATACTGTATTATCTCCACAAATAAGAACTGATTCTAAATACTGTCAGTGACTGAATATTGATTACTCTGAAATCTAAGGGTTTTAAAAATTGTTATTAACATTTTTAACATTTGTATAATAAACAGATTAAGCATATTTGTTTAATTATAGACAGCTTACAATTAAATAATGCAAAAACCTTGAGCACATTGCCGGAACTTACAGCCATGTTGGAACATTGAAATGGTGATAGTAGTGTGCCACAATCCTTCTTAACAAATGTAGCAGTTTAATCTTTACTATGAGTGGTGGACACCTCAATGTTTACTCAGTTTTGTTTTGTTTTGTTTTGGTACCAGGGATCAGAACTCAGGACCTTGTACTTGCAAAGCAGGTGGCAGCACCACTGAGCTAAATTTCCAGCCCCTCAGTTATTTTGCAAGCTGGGTTTTTTTTTTCTTTTTTTGAGTACTGGGAATCAAACTCGGGACCTTGAACTTGCAAGGCAGGCAGCAGAACCACTGAGCTAAATCCCCTGCCCTCCTCAGTTATTTTTTAATAAGTTAGAATAGATTGAGGATTGCTGGACTGGGGATTTAGCTCAGTGCCACTGCACCTGCCTTGCAAGTGCAAAGTCCTGACTTCGATCCCCAGTACCAGAGAAAAATAAATAAATAAATAAAATAGATTGAGGATTGGTTTATTTTGGAGGGGTTTTGGGGGGATTTTTTTGTTTTGTTTTGTTTTTTTGGTACGGAACCCAGGGTCTTTGTCCATGACCTACCACTGAGGATGTTTTTCTAATAACATCATTCTCACTTTTGCATTCTGATGTGCTTTTTCTTAAAACATAAATGTGTAAAATTCTAAGTAGTTCACTTAGACCATCTGCATGAAGATATATATTATCATGTAAATATCAGCATTGTTGCTATTATTAGTGTTCATTCAAACATTTAAGTTCTAAATACTTTCAAACCAGGTTGTTTTATTTTGTTTTGGGTTTTTTTCTATGGTGTTGGGGATTCAGGGTCTCATGCATATTAGGCAAAACTCTACCACTAAATTACACCTCAGCCTTCAAAACAAATATTTTAAATTGTTACTTTTCTGGAATTGTAATGTGTACAAAATTTCTGGACATTTCTTGTAATCCAGTAACACGTCCACTCAGTTCATGTGATCAATATTGCAGGCTCCAAAATCAGTCTGTCAAGTTACTGGGTTTTTAAAAATTTCTTCTCTTTTTCTGTATTTGGTTCTATAAGAAGGTATTGAATTACCAATATTTACTAAATATCAAGAAAGGTTCCAGATTACCAACACTACATGTTATTAGGTGCTTAGCTTTAATGACTTTGTTTTGTTTTAGGCCAAGACTCATGTTCTTGACATTGAGCAGCGACTACAGGGTGTAATCAAGACTCGAAATAGAGTAACAGGACTGCCATTATCTATTGAAGGACATGTGCATTACCTTATACAGGAAGCTACTGATGAAAACTTGCTATGTCAAATGTATCTTGGTTGGACTCCATATATGTGAAATGAAATTATGTCAAAAATATGCTAATAATAAAGTGAATGCATTTGTTTGATATTAATCTGTGTTGTATTTATGTATCTGTTCATTTCTAAGGTAAATTCTATGCTGGGTATGGTGGCACACACTTGTAATCCCTTTACTCGACCTGCTGAGGCAAGAGGATTGCATCATGTTCAAGGCCAGCCTGGGCTACATAGTGAAACTCTGTCTCATACAAAACAAACTAAATAAATATTCTGTAATTATTTCTTTCTGTTGGTTTTGGGGATGAACCCAAGACCTGAGTCCTCATACATGTTAGGCATGCCTTCTACCACCGAGCTACATTCCCAGCCCCAATAAGTATTCTCTTAAAGATGCTGCCATACTGTAGGTGTACCAGAATGCACAATCCATTGGTAATGGGAAGGCAGCAATATTTTTAAATTCCATGAGAGTTTAAAATTTTTTAAATTAAATACGTTAAAACTGTAAAATTTTTTGCAGATTTAAAATAAAGGAAAATAACTATGAAACAATGCAATTACTACATTCCAGGAAATGGAAAAGTCTGCATTTTGTGTATAATTGAATGTGATGGGGAAAAACATAAGCCAAAAAGCATGAATATAAAACTAAACATAATTTCCTAAAAAAGAATAAAAAGAAACAAGAAATAAAAACAAAATACATAATTTCCTATCGAGGGTTTAATGTTAACAGTTAAAGGAGGTTGGTAAGGAGTTTATTTTTCAACAGTCTGTCAAAGAATGCTTTGCGGGGTCGGGGGCGTTGAAACAGGGTCTGGCTTTGTAGTTCAGGCTGCCCTTTAACCCATGGTGATATACCTCCTTCAGCCTCCCGAGTCTAGGATTAACAGGAGTATCCCACAACGCCCAACAAGAACGTTTTTAAAGGAAACTGTACTGCAGATTTACATTCCTCAGAGAAAATAAACCCCCCATCGGAAATTAATCCAAATAAATCAGACCTTTCCAAATTATGTTGAAAATAGATTCGCAATTCCAGGAGGCAGTAGCAGCCAGGACAAAAATCAGTAAGTAACCTTCTGGCAGCCCCGTACAGTTTTCGTGCTACTTCCCAATTCGCAGGTATGGCGGACATAAACTCTCTCGGATTTCTAAAATACCAGCAAGCCCCGGGGAGCCAGCGGGGGCGAGTTAGGATAAACCCCGCCCCGGGACGCAGCCTCAGAACCTGCCGCTCTAGGCTCCACGGACGCTCTCTATGGTCGGGCGGGCTGTGTGTTGTCATCGGCGGAGCGACGGCCCGAGGCGGCGGCGCAGGCCCGGCGGGGCGTTTGGTTTCATTTTGGCCCTGAGTGGAACTGGTGTTGACGGTCGAGATGGGAGTCCCCAAGTTTTACCGGTGGATCTCGGAGCGGTATCCTTGCCTCAGCGAAGTAGTGAAAGAGCATCAGGTGGGTGAGCTTAGGGCAGCGGCTCGGAAGGCCTTGAACCCGGGACTCCGCGGTCCTCTCTGGGACTGGGGCCCAGCTGATCGTCTGCGGACAAAGTGTGCCGAAGGCTTGAGGACGCCTGGGAACCGAGTGGGGCCACAGGTTCAGCTTCTGCGGGGCTTGCGCAGGTCTTTCCAGTTCTGCTGCGGCAGGGCCTTCCGCAACTCCGGACGAGCCCTGGGTAGGAATGATTTTAATGAGCTCCCCCTTCCTCCCAGAGATCTGCAAGTTGCCTTTTCCCTTACACTGGCTGCGGAGCTGGACTGGATGCCCACGTAGGTCCCCCAGCCCACGCCGTGCACCACAGCCTCCTACGAACAATACCAGCAGCCTCCGCAGCGAAATCGCCGTGTTTACTCTTCCTTACCAAGGGCTGCATCCCACCTCATCCCCAACGCCTAGACTTGCTGACATGGCTGATAGTTCAAATATATGGTGCTTTCTGATGCTCTTTTTTCAGTCCCAAAGACTGTCCCCACCTCCTTTGACCAAAACACACACTTGGATGGGAGGAGGAGTTTTGGAGACTTGGATGGGTCAGTGAGCGCGAGATCCTTGTTACTGCTACTACTGATACTACTGTTTGGTGTATAATGATGCCTGGGCAATGTTTATAGGGAAGCTATCTTTCTCCCAATAAATTTTTCCTACTCTTAAAAAAATTTTTTTTAAGATTGTAACAAAAGTAAAGAGTGATAGACAAAAATGAAAATAGGCATTTGTTGTGTTTTTGTATTTTTCCAAATACAATGTTGGATCCTGATTTTATAATTCTATTGTACAAAGATATTTTTAATTATATGTTTGCAGTACATAATGATGACATTCATTGTGAGGAGCTGGTATATGTACATAACACATCTTAATTCTGTTTATGTCCCATTTGCCCCCCTTCCCAGCTGCATTTTTTTACCCCTACCCTCCAACCCCCTACTTCCATCTCTCTTTTTTTCTTTCTCTTATCTTTTATTTTGCTCTTTATTAATATTTTGGGTTTCTCATGTAAGAAAAACTGTGATATTTAAGCTTATGGGTGTGATTTATTTCAGTTAACATGGGCTCAAAGTGCATCCATTTTCCTACAGATGATTCATTTTTCCTCTTTATGGCAGAGTACTACTTTATTGTGCATAAATACCACATTGTTTTTACTTTTATTAGTACATGTTTCAGTGCATAATTACATTCACTATAGGGAATTGGTACATGTACATAACATATTTCAGTTTCTTATTTTCCCCCCTTCAGTTCCTTGTTCTCCACCCCTTTTATTTTTCCAGCATTAGATTAATTTGCTGTATTTATCTAATAAGATCTTATAAAGTTAATTATCATATATACATATTAAACCAAACTAATAGATCAAAGAACATATTAAACACATAAGATCAAGTCAAGGTACACTTTTAGATACATTGGCAGCCACTGAATTATACCTTTGTCTGTCTCTGTCTCTATCTCTTCCTCTTTCCCTCCCTTCCTGTTATGTCTTTTATTTCATACTTTATATATACAGTATTGAGTTTGTCATATAAAAGAAACTATGTAATATTTAAGCTTATGTGTCTGAGTTACTTACCATTATGATTTCAAGGTATATCTACCTACAAATGACTCAAGTGTACCCTTCTTTATGGCAGAGTAATACTCTGTTGTGTACAAATACCACATTTTATTCATCCATTCATCTGTTGATGGACATATGAGCAGTTTCCAAGATTTAGCTATTATGAATTGCACTGCTATAAACATGGGTATGCATACATCAAATTGCTAAATACCACATATTCTTTGTCCCCTTATCGATTGACATATAGGCTGCTTCCAAGAGTTAGCTATTGTGAATTGTGCTGCTGTAAACATGGGTATGCTTATATCACTGTGATATGATGTTTTAAACTCTTTTAGGAAGATATCTAGGAGAGAAATATATAGATCAAATACAATTTCTTGTTGTATTTTGAGGAATCTCCATACTGATTTCCATAATGGTTGCACTAGTTTACATCTCACCAGCAATAAAGAAAGGTTCCTTCCCCCATCCCTACCTGGGAGGCACCATTATTTGTTGTTGTCTCATTTCCTGATGATAGCCATTCTTTCTAAAGTAAAATGCTGTCTCAATGTTGTTTTAATTCATATTTGTCTAGTGGCCAGAGATGTTGAACATTTTTTCAAGTATTTGTTGGCCATTTGTATTTCTTCTTCTGAGAAGTGTCTGTTCATTTCAGTTGCCCATTTTTGGACTGGGTCTTCTATTTTGAAGTGTCTGATTTTTTTTTTAGGTTTATATATTTTAGATATTAGTACTCTGTCCAAGGAATAACTGGTGAAATTTTTTTCCCATTCTGTACGTCTATTGGTTGCTTCCTTTGCTGTGCAGAAGCCTTTTAATTTGATGTAGTCCCATTTGTTGATTCTTGGTGTTATCTCTTGTGCAATTAGGGTTCTGTTCACAAATTCCTTGCCTAGTCCTATGTCTTCAAGAGTTTTATCAATTTGTCTTCAAGCATGAAGTGTTTCTTTCTTTTTGGGGGGTGGGTGGGTACGGGGGTCGAGCTCGAGTCCTTGTGCTTGCGAGGCAGGCAACAGAACCACTGAGCTAAGGGCTAGGGATTTAGCTCAGTGGTTTCGCTGCCTGCTGCGCAAGCGCAAGGACCCAAGTTCATTCCCCGGTACCAAAAAAAAAACAAAAACCACTGAGCTAAATCCCCAGCCCCATGTTTCTCTTTTAATATTAAATCTTTGTTCCATTTTGATTTTAGTTTGGTACATGGTAAGAGATATGGGTCTAGATTCAATCTTCTGCATGTGTATAGCCAATTTTCCCAGCACCGTTTGTAAAACAAGGTATCTTTCCTCCCAAACAAGTTTATTGCCCCCTCAAGGATCAGCTAGCTAAATGTTCTTGGAGTTGCTTCTGCATCTTCTGTTGTGTTGCACAGATCCACATATATGTGTTTTTCTCAGTATCGTAGTGTTTTTATCACTATCTTTGTAGTACAACTTGAAGTCCGGAATACTGATTTCTCCTGCCTTGCTCTTGTTGCTCAGGATTGATTTTTGTAATTCTAGGTCTCTTCTGGTTTCATATGGACTTTAGAGTAGTTTTCTCTACTTCTGTGAGGAATGCTGTTGATAATTTGGTTGGGATTACATTAAATCTGTGTAACAGTTTTGGAAGTGTGGCCATTTTGAGTATATTGGTTCTGCCTGTCCAGGAACAGGCCATATATTTCCATTTTCTGATGTCCTCTTCGATCACCTTTTTCAGAATGCTATAGTTCTTATTGTACAGATCTTTAACTTCCTTAGTTAGGTTGCTTCTTATGTATTTAGTTTTTCTTGATGCTATTGTTAAAGATACTGGTTCCCTAATTTCTTTCTCAGTGAGTTTATTATTGGTGTACAGGAACACTATTGATTTTTGTGTTGACTTTGTATCCTGCTACACTACTGAATTTAGTTATTAATTCTAGGAGCTTTTGGTGGAATATTTTGGGTGTTCTATGTAGAGCATTATGTCATCTGAAAATAATGATAATTTGACTTCTTCCTTTCCTATACATATTCCTTTTATTTCTTCTCTCTTTTTTTTTTTTTTTTTTGGTACCGGGGATCGAACTTGGGACCTTGCACTTGTGAGGCCGGCGGCAAAACCACTGAACTAAATCCCTGGCCCATATTTCTTCTCTTTTCTGATTGTTCTGGCTACTGTTTTGAGAACTATATTGAACAGTAGTGCTGATAGTGGACATCCTTGTCTTGTGCATGATTTTAGAGGGAAACTTTCAGGTTTTCCCCATTTTGTATGATGTTGGCAGTAAGTTTCTCATAAATGACTTTTTATCAAAGTTATATAAGGTCCTTCTATGCCTAACATTTTCTTTAGAGTTTTTGTCACAAATGGATTGGATTTTGTCAAAGGTTTTTTTCTGTGTCTATTGAAATGATCGTATGATTTTTGTTCTTGCTTCCACTTATGTAATGTGTTACATTTACTGATTTGTATATGTTGAACCATCCCTAATCCCTGGGATTCAGCCTGCTTGGTCACGAGTATGAATTTTTTTTTTTTTTTTTGTACTGAGGATTGAACTCCGGACCTTGTGCTTGTGAGGCAGGTGGCAGCACCACTGAGCTAAATCCCCGGCCCCTGACCTTTTTGATGATTTGTTGCATCCTGTTTGCCAGTATCTTGTTGAAGACTTTTCATCTGTGTTCATTCAGGAGATTGCCCTATAGTTCTCTTTTATCATTTGGATCCTCTTCTGGTTTTGGGATCAGGGTAATACCAGCTTCCAGGAATGACTGGGAATATTCCTTCCCTTTTGATTTCATTAAGCAGTTTGAGAAGTATTAGTGTTAGAGCTTCTGAAAGTTCTTATAGAATTTGGGAGTGAATCCACTGCCACCTGAGCTTTTCTTATTTGGAAGTATTTTCATTACTTCTTCAATGTCATTGCCTATTATTGGATTATTCAGGGTTTTTATGTCTTCTTGGTTCAGCTTTGCTAGTCCATATATATCTCAGAATCTATCCATTTCTCCTGCATTCTCCATTTTATTAGTGTACAGGTTCTCAAAGTAGTTTTTTTTTTTTCAAAGTAGTTTTAATAGTCTAGGTTTTGTGATTTCATTGTTTTGGTTTTTATTTTTTAATTTTTTAATTTTTTTCAGTACCAGGGATCAAACTCGGGTCCTTCTGCTCGCAAGGCAGGTGGTGGAACCACTGAGCTAAATCCTCGGCCCTGTTTTTGGCTTTTTTGGGACAAGATCTTGCTGTGTAGTTCAGGCTGGCTCTGAACTCCCTATGTAGCCCAGGCTGGCCTCCAATTCACAGCGATCATCCTGTCTCAGCCTCCAAAGTGCTGGGATCACAGACGTGCATCACTACGTCCAGCTCTCCTGTTTTCATTTCTAATTGCATTGATTTTGGTTTTTTCTGTCCTTTTTTGGGT